TATGGGCAGCATGAGAGCTTGATATAGGTTCTGGTCTGGCAAAAGTGTGATCAAATGTAAAATATTGCACTTTATGGGCCAGAAGCAGTGTGCACATGGCTACTACTTATCTCTCTTTTATCCAATTGATCAGTAGGCCTACAAAGCATCAGATAAAAGTATAACAAATGTGTACCTGATTGTCACTGTTGATGATGATTTGGTAGTTTGCATACTATATTTGTTGATGTGTTGAGAAATGTTTCATAATCCTAGGGTCATCCTGGAGAATTCAGCTAAATAATGGTTATTCTGTCCGCTTCTTAATAGTTAACATTTTGGAGGTACAAGCTTTTGACCATATGACTGAAATATGTCTTGTATCTGATGATTTAGGTCATACTGCCATCTAGTGGAAAGTAAAGTGGACTGCAACTGACAATGAAGTCATGCTGTTCCCTTCAACATGCTTCATATTTAAAGTTAGTAGCAAAGCACCACAACTGTTGGTATGTTTCGCCCATGAGATAACACATTGTTTTCAGTCTTCAAATATATTCTATAAAGTCATATTGATCCTGTAAAATTGTGAACTGTGTTGAATTTATTTGCTAGAACAAATTATGTTTAAGTACAGTTTTGAGTTACTAATAGTCATATATTGTCATGTTATGCTACTTTGAACTTAAACATACAAATAACAGATTATAATACTATATAATATATGATATATACAGGTATGATATAATGCAATACTACAGTACACATCCAACCCTCCCAGTAGAATACAACGTGTATAAAACTGGATCCACACAAACTACAAAATGAATGGTAAATAGAACAAAATGATATAATCTAGATAAGACTATAAAAGGAGCCATTGTGCATAATGACTTCTACTCTAGGATCTGAGTCATTCAACCACCACTGGGTAAGATAATCAAAACGGCAATGTCACAACAAATAAATCATGCAAGAATTAGGATAACACAATATGATGAAGAAAAAAAGGAAGAATATGCTATTCTACGTTTGTTGTGAGTATTGAGGGGAAATGTGCAAATGGAGACATGCTGGCAGAACAAAAACTAAATGAAAATCAGTTTCAGAGCGAAAGCACCGGTTAACCTTTTTTTAACAATCACTGGAGTTGCTAAAAGTGGAGACACTTGATAACATAGAACATTTCTCACCATTACTAGGAGACACAATGGTTGTAGCATTTCAACCCTGTTAGCTTGGGTAGAGGAAATAGAATGTCGATTGGCCCAATACTTCCAGAATGATATAGTTATACTGACTTTGGTGTTCCCCTGCCTGTTCCTCTAGCGTCAGTGTAAGAGTGAAGTTGGTGGTTTATTTAAATGTCTCCAAAAATGTCTGTCTGAACATGTCAGCATGCTGACTTGCTCCTAAGGGACTTGCTTGACCTGTGCTTGAATACCTATTGTATCTGTCAATGTGTAACCAAACCCAAATTACTTATCGTATCGTTATGTTTGGGGATAACACGAGTGAGGGGCCAACATTCCTAATGACATAAGTGTTGCATAGGCGGCTACTGATCAAGAGCTTATCCACTGCGGTTTCCTACACCCAGTCCCATGACCATGAAGCACAGTGTGGGAATATTAAACCTCAAGATCCTTAGTGCTGTTTTAGTTACTAGTCACGTAAGAAACATGTGTTGAAGAAACGTGATGAAAACAGTAAAACCCTTCACAGTAAAATTCTACAGTGCAAAGTGCAATGGAGGTTTGTTATCTTTTAGACTATATCTTTCCTTAAGTGGTTAGCAGATAAGAATATTACAAGTCAAAGGGAAATGACATACAATGCAATGTGTCTTACCACAAGGGATTGTTTGTGTTGGAGTATTTCTCAGATCTGGTTGGTTATGACATACAATGCCTTCTAAATCAAATACAATACTTATATTTCTGTATATCTAACCGGCCTTGGGTTGGTTTCTGAATCTGTTGGAGCTTTTAGGGACAAGATTGGCTTTATCCTACTATATTTTCTGTGAACTGCTCACGTATATTTCATCTTAAGTCTATTTTCATTTATATAGGGAGACTGTTGCTCAGTGGATAGTGCGCTGGACTTCGAATCAGGGGTAGCAAGTTGGACTCCCACTGCAGTCAGCATGTCGTTGTGTCCCTGGGCAAGACACGTCACCCCAAATTGCTCCAATGGGGATTGTCCACAGTACCGAATGTATGTAAGTCGCTTTGGATAAAAGCGTCCAACAAATGACATGTAATGTAATATACTGTAGCACTTTGTTATGTAAGCCCCCAGCTTTAATCACGTTAGCATACCTCAATCATCATCAGAGTGTATGTTTGTTGCTCTGGTGGATGATGAGGTCAAATCCTTGATCTTACATATTTACTCCATTTCATATATTTAATTTAAACAATAATTGATTTGCTGTCTGATGGATGGCAAAAAGACCTGTAGACTCAGCTTTTGAGTCTTTGTTACAAGCAATCATTTGACTAATATGAGATGTCAAATGTGGCAAGGGTCAAATTAACGACATTGAAAACACAATAAAGAATATAGACTTTTTGTCTACCTTTTCTTTAACTAATTTTGAAAAAGAAGCATAAGTACCTTTTTTAGGCAGAATGTTGCATGCAAATGGAGACCAATATTTGTCAAGTTAATGAGGTGGTTTGCATATATAGAGATCTGAAATTATTGAGAAACTGTGTTCATGAAACTCATGTAGCCGAATATATATCAGTTTACTGAAGCAGGCAATGGACCCAAACCCAAACCTATATTTCTGGATTATTATAATAGAAAATGTTCCTTCCATTCATCTCAGCGTGAAGTCAGAATTGAGTGCCTTTAAATGCCTCTCGTTATATATCCAATCTACTTTACCTCAGCAGGGGCTGTGTGAATTTAAAAGGTTACAGAGCTCTCATACTGTTGATTGTCAGTGCACGTCTGGATTGATTTCCTTCATTATTGAATGACTTTGAGGTGCCTCTGAATATGTGTAAACTCAAAATTGTGCACGCACAAAGTAATGAGACATGGCCTAGCACTCACATTCTAACGCTCGAACACACATTCACACAGAACTCCTTTTTAAGTCTTCAGACATTTTCATATCTGCTCGAGCAACCCCCACATGCAGCTGGTGCTGGGCAGCCAAGTGGGATAGCACTGCACAGCATGGCTCTACCTAGATGAAGACAACATATTCACCCATGCACGCTCTGACACCCGTCCCTCACCCGCTGACAAGACGCAAAGAGTGGAAAGAGCTCCATGAAAGATTTACTAATGGACTGAGGTGGTCTCCCTTAGAAGCTGAGCAGAGGCCGTGGTTTTGGGGAGAAAGGGAGGGAGGGAATTCCAGAGAGAATCCCGCAGTGTGTGAAGTGTATTTCTGTATTCAGAGCAGAAATTAAGTATTCTACTGCTCAGCAGTGATCAGTCTCAGAGGCTTTCACCAAGCCTCCGTCTTACCCTGGTTCTTCAGATTGCATCTCAATAGAGTTTGATAGCTGATGGAAGGAGATAGTGGCCTGCTCCTACACAACAACCAATTACAAAATCCAATTTGACTAAGAGAAAGTTTGAAAGGTTAACATAAAGTCACATGAAGGCATGTGGTTCTTATATGAAGCCTGCAGAGTAGACACATCAAACTTGTGTATCTAATTCACATTTCATGTTGGGAAGTGAGTTTATCAGTGTTTGACACTGATAAACGGTGTGTGCCAACTGTGATTGCACTAACAGAGTCCTTACATTGATTACAGTTTAATCACTGCATTGTTTCTCCCTCTAAAAACACAAGTGGCCGATGAGTGCATTGCACATTTTAACCCTCTACAGACTTGGCATGATGAGTCACATCTCTTTACTTCATGCATCATAGATAGAACTCAAACTGTTTCCCTCTGCAGGACTTTCAGGGTGACTTGCCTTATCAACGCTGTCCTAATACAAATAGCTTTTTACTGTAACTCCTCGGTTGGCAAACTGACTGCTTTACATCTTAATCACTGTATATCCACCTAATCAATGCATCAGGTTCCTCAGTCTGCCTGTTTCATATAGGCTACATGTTTTATTGAATGTTGAATTTCTTGCACAAATATGTGGAAATAAAACTGACATTAGACACAATTAAAATAAATCCCTGTACAGTGAAGAAAAAATAGTCCTGCAGACAACTTCTTTGTCAAACTCCTGCAGCATTACATCATGTTCCTTTTGCAGGGTCCTTTCAAAATGTAAGAGCATGCGAGAATCATATTGCTTCAACACCCAGGCTTGCCAGGAAATTAGATATATCATCCGTCACCAATAATATAATTAGATTATGCTGCCTTGCAACCATGGCTGTTTAGCTGCGCCACAGTCACTGGTACGGCTACACCCATATACAGCAGGTTTCTTTGGATAAAAAGAGACTTTGATGCAGCAGAATGAATCATTGAGGGCCACAGATCAGCACAAGATGGGCACTCGTAAAACGTTAACGACACACATATCTTCACCAATTTCCCTCTATCAGAAACAGGAAGTGGTCTGTCGCTGCTTCTTTCATTTAAAAAAAAAAAAGAAGAATAAAAAAAAAAGTAAAACGCATATAGGTGACAGTATTAGCATCAACTGAATAGATCTGGAGATCTCTTTTAAAAAATCACTATAGGCCTAATAATACCCCAAATCTTACTTTCACATATGCCCATCCCAGAATAATAATATGATAAATAATATTTGCTAATTGTTAATCTTGCTATTTGTTTGTGTTTTATTACTGTAATCTGACTGTTCAAAGTAATTGAATATGTCAAGTAAATGTAGTGCAGCAAAAATAACAATATTTCCCTAAGTGTACAGTAGTAGTAACTTAATGACGGACTCAAATTCGGGGGGGTGGGGGTGTTACACAAGCTACGAAATTAAAGTATAATTTGCAACTGTACACGCTTAAAGGCATCTGAGGAATTTGCAAAGCGAGCCAAGGTGGGACGGTTCTGCCTCGTGAGTAGAGAGCAGTTCATAGGTTGCACGCTCTTGTTCAATTAATTATCCGCCTACACGAGACGAACATGCATCAAGGAACGCGCACAAGCAGCGAAGAAAAGCTCCAAACATGCACCCCGATAACCATCAAATGACACCAAATACGTGCTGTCATATTTAGCTGGACTGGATTCAAAATTACTTCCGAGCGTAAGCTTTGTCCCGCACCGGAGAGACTGGATATCAGCCTGCTCGTGTTTGCACCCTGCAGTCAGTTGCTGGGGACGCACGTTGTAAAATGAGGTTTGGAAGCATCATTGCATTCGTCGCTCTCTGCTCTTTTACCGCTTATTATATTTATGAGCCCATTCCTGAGGACATAGAAGAAAGATGGAAACTCATGCTGACCAACTCTTTCTTCAGGAGTCTCAGCCACCTGGTAAGGAACACGTTCTGTATACTTTGACATTATGTTTACCGGTGCTAATGAATACTACAAAAATAATCCTACATTTAAAAGCCTACATGGTTTAGTAATACAGTATAGCCATATCATATCTGAAAACGTATTAACTTGTATAGGTGGCAAATTAAATGTAAATATTTTTGGCTGAATTGGATATGGTTCATAAACAAGATTATGTCAGATGCTAATCCATGTTTATAGTCTTGCTCATCTGTTCTAATAATAGACCATATTAAGGAAACTCTCCTCTGTTAATGGTTGTTAGAGCCTGTGGTTTACTGGAGCCGATCGTGGTGCCTAATATGAGTTGTTATGAGTTTATAACCCTAAGGCATCGATGGCTGTGACATTAGTATAACAATTATAAATAGCCTTTTTAACTATGGAAGCTTAACAAACTTAGTTCATTATTCGTGTGTGCAGCCTACTGCCTCTAACATAACATTCAGTTTGTTATTAGAACGTATCTAATGCATCACTGTGAAAAATATATGTTATACTTCATTGTTGAATGATACAGCCATATGTATGCCCCTCCAGCAGGCTCATTCATTATATGATTGATTACTTGTTCATGGAGTGATTATAGGTTGTGTTTTACATTGTATTGGGATGGTTCTCTTGGGGGAAGTAGACATTGATAGTACGTGACTTATATTGCTTTTGTTAACAACCACCATTTTTTTAAGTTAAATGCTGAAAAAAGGTTTTGTGGCAACAGTAGAAGAGGATCAACTGATTAGCTTCATGTAAAGCCAATGACTGCTTACCTCAGCAAACATAATAGGGTATGAGTCATGCTTTTACAACTTGTAATTTAGTTACAACTTCTCAAAACAAATGAATGCAGAGGGCGGTGGAACTATGCCAGGAGTGACTCCCATTACTTTCCCTTATTATTCATTACAAGGCCATATACAGCATTTCTGTTACCTTAATTATTTCTGTTTTGAATATTATGAGCTCTGTTCCAGGAAATTGTTTCCAAAAGATAAAACTCCCTGACATAGCTTTACTGAATGATGAAATACGAATGGCTCAGGTTTGATATATCCTATAATGTGTCTCTATCTCATGCTGTCTCTCTGCTTCTCTTTTCCAGGCAGACCTCAGTGAATTACTGGGGCTGAAGGACTACATGGGGGTAATGTACTTCATAACTCTGGCTGAAAAGATAGTGCCCATGTCTGACGAGCATATCAAGGTGACAGAGGAGCAATTTGATGGAGTGGACGTGGTGCTGTACCAGCCAAAGAAGAGTGACGGTGACACTAAGCTCAGGACGGCTGTCATATACCTGCACGGTGGAGGATGGTGTCTGGGTAGTTCCCGTAAGTCCATTGGCTGGCTTTCCCCTCTTTTATCACAGAGACTGCCGACTCTGACTTCTAAAGATGTGTGGAAAGATGGATGAATGGGTAATACACATTCTAATAATGTATTCACCACACAGTGATCCTACCATTTTATTGGGAAACTATTGCTTTACAGATTTATATAAACTGCTTGTGAAAGCTTTCACGACATGATCTTACATTTAGAAAAATATCAAACACAAGCCACAAGGGGTTCACACTTTTTCCCGAGGAAATAACACACCGTCTGCCGAAGCAGTCGGAGCCTCAGAGGGTGGTTACCCTGGCTAATCCACAAAAAAAGACATGACATGCCTTTTGACACATCTCATGCTGCAGACAATCTGTTGAATTGCTGTAACAATTGCATTAACTCACATCTTGCCAGAAAGATAGAGGAGGCATGGTTCATTTATTTTATGTTCTGTGAGGTTTCTGGATTGAATGAATGTCAATAATTATGGTGGTTGAGTTTCTTTACCATTGCTTTAAAATGTTTGTGTTCTCTGTCTACAGTTATGAGCCCATATGATCTTCTGGCCAGAAAAATTGTCAACGAGCTAGATGCAGTGGTTCTTTCTGTAGAGTAAGTAATTTATATTTTATAGCCAGTTATTTATAGTCACTTTTAATTCTGAATAAATGTTTGTTTTTATTTGTATTATTCATAGACTGTTTCCCTAACTCTTTCGGTCAGCCACTCACACAGAGTTTTGTGTAGTCATATGTGCCTGTCCACCCTCATTAGTCAAAGGGGAAAAGGAAGTGAGGATGCAGTAGAGTGAAGCTAACAGGTTTTCATAAAGGCCCAACCAGGGCTTTCCCTGTCAGAGCTCCACTCACTGTTGCTCTTTGGCACTTCCATCTTTTAGTCTGACGATCAGAACAGTAACTTTATTTTGGTCTCTCTATATGACAGTTTTTCAACTTCATCTATCAAATTAAACAGGTGAAAGACTACTACTCACTGATTCAATCAGAAATGTTATGTGTGTGTTATATGGCGGTTGTGCTTGTTGACATTTGACTTTGGGAAGCAGAGTTACAGTATTCATGTACTGGTTTCCGATGTTTGAGGATATTGCCGTATCTGCTTCATCCACATTTCTGTCTTCAATTTGTTAAGTAATCAGTTAGTAATCCCAGAATGGTACATTATCAAAACCTGGCATGTGTACCATTTGGCGTACTGATGGAGACTGAAAATAATTAAGAACATTGTGATGGACATTTCTGAAGCAATGGAGACGAAACTTAGAGAGACACGGAGGGAGCTTGCTGGTAAAACACAAAAAAAGTAAACTGCCGGAGAAGTGATAAGACATAGTTGACACAGCTGTTGCCAAACCAATTCTGAAGAATCTTTCGCAAGTCCCTAGCTCTGAGAGAATAATCAACATGCTGCATAACAAGATCAAACAGGCAAAGCAAACACCTATCAGCTGACGCCAACAGGCAGGAATAGGGAGACAAAACACTGAGGGTGTTTCTCACTGTCGAGGAAGGCTGCTCCAGAGCCACTATTTCAAGGATGCTACGTCATCGAGTCCCGCCGAAGGACTGTTCCAATGTCCAGGATGCTTGGAATTCTACCGAGGCTGGCGTCCTTCGTTGCGGGAAAATTCGAGACTGCACATATGTATCCTCCGCGGTCTTAAAATCCCAAATCTTTGGCGGAAATTGCGCTTCATTTAAGGCGGGGCCTCGCATATGACGCACACCTGCACAGTGCATACCTGTTAGCCTGTTCCACCATTCTTCGTTTTCCGATGGAAGGATTCTTGCCTCGCTTCTGAAGGACTTGACTCGGAGGGACATGTCCTACCAAGGAAGCGTCCTTGACATTGAGAAACACCCTGAGAGCACAGCTTCCAAGGTTGCAGGCCTGTGCTCAGTGAGGGCAGTCCAAACTGATAAACCGGGTCTAAGTTATGGGCCAAGGAACATATTTCCCCAACAAACTTAACATTTTAATTGGATGCACGCTATTGACGTTCGTTTTTTCAATAATTTAGGTACAATTGGAAGTTGTTGCAACACTCAGTTAGAAAATGTCAAGGTGCTTCTTTGAACAAATCTGTTTATGTTCTTTTACTTTGGTGAACTTGTGGTTCAGTGAATACAACTCTTTATAGGAAAATCTGGTTATCCCCTTGAAAATGTCATCATGTTTATTTTCCCTAGCTCAAAATGTTGTCTGTGCACATGGCCCCCATATCTCATGTTTATTTCTGTTTTATCTTTAATCTGCCCCTTTCTGATTTGTCAGGTACCGCCTTGCCCCTGCTTACCACTTCCCTGTCCCATATGAGGATGTATACCGTGTGGTCAAACACTTCCTTCATAAGGGGGTGCTAGCCCAATACTCTGTGGACCCCGGACGCATTGCTGTGTCTGGAGATAGTGCTGGGGGGAACCTGGCAGCTGCCGTCTCCCAGCAGGTACTGAATCTTCAGCTCTATTTTTCTGGTTCATCAAAAATATGAATTGAGGTGACCAATAATGACCTTATATTCTATGGCCTATCATGTTTGTCTCTGTTTTACAGATTTAAACTATTCAGCAGTTCTTAACTATTCATTTTAAGCTAATAAGGAGTTTGCTTTTATTGTTGGAGATATACAAATCAAAAACTACATTGTAAAAGTATGAGGGTAGAGCTGGAGTTAGTGCAATTGCTCTTAAAGGAGTGAGTGGGCAGGTTGCAGGGGAAGAACAACATATTTGTATTCCCCTTGGGCATAAAACAATTCTGATTAAGCTAGACTTGGATTGTAATGCTCACAAAAGTCCATGGAAGCTCATGAAAGAGTACAAAAATGAAAACAAACAGTACATTTACAGCAGTGCCATTGGCAACGGTACCTGAACAGAGAAAACGACGAAGGTCCAGGCAATATGCCCTAACAAGGACTAACATAATCTCTTTGGAATTTACTTGAGATTGAGACAGACATTATGAATTACCTGATACTATCCCTTAACTTTAGTACAGTTCAAATAAAGTTATTGACAATAAAGTGAAAACACCACTTGTATCGCAGTAATGCACACTGCATTTTTAGGTATGCCGCTATAAGCCAATTCAGATTTTTTGGAACTCGCAATGTCAATATAGCAATCTTATCCAATCCATTTCTCTATTAGCTATGATATTGTTCTACTGTATGACCATCTTGTACCAGGAGCCCGTTGCTGCTGGCATGGGAGACCAAAACTAGCGATGGTCAGGATGAAGCCCCATGCTTCATGCTGAAGCTATTCTTAGTGACACAAGTATCTCCTTGCACACCAGAAATATGGTTGAATGCATTCACTTTGCATACTATACCATCTGCTTGTATTACAGGGTGATGACTACTAAGTGGTCAAGCTGGGCAATTGGTTTGTCTCCATAGAATGTTCATGTCTTCAAAACAGTGACTGCACCCTTGCTCTTCAAGAATATACTTTCGACTCTAAAGTTTAGAGTAATAAAGATACGGAATACTTGTCTTCTTTGAGCTGAATAGTAGTATATTACCCGCACAGGGATATCGTCAGAGACAAACAAATAGAGAACAATGGGGATGATGCAATTCTTCCTGTAAACAACTATGACTTGTATACATACAAGTCATAGTTGTTTACACATATATGTGAGCAGATGATGCACCTTTACTGTATTTCTTAAAATATTCACTGCCTATTTCATTGCATTGAGAAACGTTTCTTTGAATACATGCCAATCTCACTCCGTCTCTTTTCACAGTTGCAGAAAGAGCCTGGACAGCAGGTTCAGTTGAAGGCCCAAGCACTCATCTACCCCGTACTGCAGGCTCTGGATCTAAACACACCTTCCTATCAGCAGAATCAGGACATGCCCATTCTGCCCCGCTACCTAATGGTGCGTTTCTGGAGTGAGTACTTCACCAGCGACAGGGCCTTTTTCAGAGCCATGATGGCCAACACTCACAACAGCCCTGAGTCTTCCAGCCTGCTGAAGTTTGTCAACTGGAGCACTTTTCTGCCAGCCAGATATCATAGAAAATACAACTATAGTGCTCCTACTGTGGTGCAGGGAGAGGAGGCATTTGGGAAGGGGGGGAGCATCTCGATCTCTCGCTGACCCGAGAGCATCACCCCTGTTGGTTCCAGACTCTGCCTTGCACTCTCTGCCAAAGGCCTACATTCTGACATGTGAGTATGATGTTCTCCGGGATGATGGGATCATGTATGTCACACGGCTCCTTTCTGCTGGTGTTGAGGTGACTCATGAACACTATGACACGGGATTTCATGGAGGGCTAATGTTCACTGTGTGGCCAACTGACTTCCTGATTGGACGTCGTATGACGGAAAACTATATCAAATGGCTCAAGGAAAACTTGTAAAAATCAAACTCTTGACTACCAGTATTCATTCCGGTTTTCCCACACAATGCACCAGCGTTTGCTTAGGTGCAAGGGTTTTAATAGTTATTGTTATTATAAGATATTGTTGTTAATTTCTTATTTTTTGGTCATCCTAATTTTCTGTCAATGTATCAGCTTCTTCTGTTTTCCATTCATGTATTGAAATAGTTAAGATACCAGCACAAAAGCAGGTCTGAATTGTTCACATAGGTGGGTTTGAGCAAAAGCGTATATTCCGTGAACGTAAGATATGTTTGCAAAACTATAACTCCTGCTTAACAATTCCTAGCATTGCATGAAAGATTGGCAAGTTTTATTGTGTTCAAAATAAGAAACAATAGCCCTTAGTTGTGTAACCTATATCAATAAAGGTACACAGGGGGATGCTTGCTGGTGTAGTTGATGATTTCAAATGCAGTGTAAATGTAAAACGTAATTATTTTGTAATCGCTGCACATCAGATCTACATACAATGATATTTGATGAGCCAGATTCCACGCAACAAAAAGCAACAATGTGCATACACAGCAAACAATATTCACCAATTTCATTTACACATGTTTGTGATTTAATTTAGCTGAATTTAATGTAGAGAAATAACAAAGAATCAAATAGCAAAAGTCTAAAATTATCAAGTGAGTTCTGTATACTAATATTTACAGTATAGGGGTGTGTGTAAATGTAACATTTTTGTTATCAATAAATAAGCTACTATATGTCCAAATATAGACCTGCCTTTGTGTAATGGATATCGGCAAATTAAGAGAAAGCTGCAAGAGCCAGCTTTACGATGAAATGTGTTACATTTAGTGTCTAGCCAAGTTTCTATGGTTTGAGTAGGTACTACTTCAGTTTCTTACCACTTTAAGTTCCTGAAACTCTGCTCTAACAATATTCATAAAAGGAAAATACTGGCATATATTTTCCCTCTGGCCCAACAATCATATGAGGCGGCTTGAAACGATTCCCTTGTCCCTCTCTTTTATCTTCTTGATCTTTCTGTCTGTGGGCATGGTAACCCTGCAAACTCTCATCACATGGCACAGCTATCTGAAAGATAACAGGGAGATAACAACAAATAATCCTGTAAACAAAGGTCTCTGAGCTGTTTCTTAATGTCTCACAGTTTCTTAAGCTTTACTTTTTAAAATGATAACAGTTGATAATAAACAAATGGAAGTCAACATTGAATAAGTCAATCAGAATAAAAATACTAAAGTTAAGGGACCTGCCTGAAGAGGGCTATACTGTAGGTGGGTGCTGGTCTCTAACAGAGTTATTTTCGGGAAACCTGAAGCACTGCTCAATTTTGGAATCCTTCATGGACAACTTATGATTTTAATCACTTTGAATTTCAATGTTGTCTGTCAATAAACTCACTTGAACTGCAATTACTGATCAATTTTATATGTGTTTGCTATTAACAAAGAGAATGACATACTAGAATAGACGGAAAAGAGGAACACAAATGTTTTGGCATGTTACAAGATGTCACAAGATACATTTAACTTAGTGACCTCGAACAAGATGCTGTGCTATGAGGACATTTTGGATAGGCTGACTCAGACGCAACAAATCCTCTTAGAGCCACAGGTTAAGCAGGACTATGTCCACAACGTACGACTACATGCTCCATAGGTCGGAGGTTGTAAAAGAAAAAAGCAGTTATTATATCTCTGGATAGCAAAGAGGATGATGCATGAGTGCAAACAAATCATTTATAGTATGATACAAATAGGTCACCTCGTTCGTCAGGACATGTTCAACAGCCCTTCACGCCTCCTCTGTAAAGAATGGATTATTTATGTAATGGTCATATTCCCTTTATAAGCTGGCCTAGTGTGCAAGTATGTACTTGTATAGGTGCGTATACACATACCGTGTATTACTATTAGTAATCCTTCTGGACAGGAAATGGTGGGACTGTTTCTCTGAATTCCTTCACTGCTATGGAGGGCTAATAACAGTAACGTGAGATGGATTATGACAAATTATTCCTTGAAACTGTTAATATTTAGTGGTTTTACACAGATTATACCTACATAAAGAACACAAAATGCACACATATTTACTCACACAGAAATGTGCGTAAGCACAAGTAAGCTTTCACATACTGCTGATGCAAATAAGCATAAATGTAACATGATTTCTCAAAGGCTTCCTTCAACACTGTTCAGCTTGCAAATATATCATGTCACTCAAAGGTCAAGTACTGAATGATATAAAAACCAAAGCTAGTCAAGGTACTTTTATTCTCTTTCTTTTACAATGGAAGTTTTGTTTTCATTCCTATAATACATGTTCTGCTGCTTTTTCTCGTCTGCTCTGTCTGTGCAGCCCACTACTGAACTTTACAAATGCTTTTTTTTGGTGCTTTTCCAGGAGTGATGCCAGTGTTAATGAAATGAGGCATAAAGCATGTTTTGATAAGTTCTGGATGAGAGAAAGCACCTGATCCTCTCTGTTGTATGACAGCAAAGCCCTGTAAAGTGTGGTTAATAGGAAATCAAGGCCTAAATAAACCTTAAAGGTCACTGGCAGAGCAATATAAAAGGAAGCATTCGTGAGAGCTGAGACATTCAGATCATTTCAACTGTAGACATAAATATTATAAATTGTAAAATATATTATGTTTGTTTACACAGCAAACTCAAACCTTTCATTTTTCTATTGAAAGACTCTGACTAAGGAAATTGCAGAACAAACCTTGGTACTCTAAAACAATGACAAGCGTCTAGGAAATGAAAATGAATATCAGGAAGGAAACAAAGGTAATGCATAATTAGCAAGCAGGGGTCACTATGGGAACCAGAGATCAATTCATTAAACTGTTTTTCTTGGCTGTCTTTAACGGTGATCCTCTCTTAATGTGTTGATGATAACAAATACAACATTTTTGTATTCGAGTTGTAGAAACCGCCTTTAAAAAAGAAATGCAGATAGGAAAGATATGAACTGCTAAAAAAACAAAAGGGCTAATCTCTCGCTCTGCTTATGAGAAAATAGTTGTTGAGGGATGCATTTCCACCTACAGTTGTACATTATTTTAAGTCAGAATTCTTCTTAAATATGATAATGACTCAATGACTACAGCACTTCCTTTCTTGTGAACAACTACAAGACAATTTTCTGACCACAGTCTCGGTACTTTCCATGAGCCCTTTATACTTTCATTTTATAATTAAACACAAGCATGTTTTTCTTTACTTCTGAGACTTCAAGCCCAGGTGACTGAAATATGTATAGTATCGTGTGATCTACGATATAAACTGATTTAATTAGGTAAAGTGAGTGATTTAAAAACATAGAAATAATGACAACACATATTTTTAGACCCAGGTCCTAAAACACTGTCTCTTCACTCTGTAACTAGATGACAAGCGTCTAGGAAATAAAAATCAGGAAGGAAGCAAAGGTAATACATAATTAGCAAGCAGGGGTCACTATGGGAACCAGAGATCAATTAATTAAACTGTTTTTCTTGGCTGTCTTTAACTGTGATCCTCTCTTAATATGTCTTGATGATAACAAATACAAAACTATTGGATTTGAGTTGTAGAAACCGCCTTTAAAAAAAAATGCAGATAGGAAAGATATAAACTGCTAAAAATCGAAAGGACTAAACTTGAAGGGGACCTATCATGCAAAATGCACTTTTGTACGTCTTTTATACATGAATATGTGTCCCCGGTGTTCCAGGGAACTCACCAAGTGTCAGAAAACACAACCCTCTCTATTTTCCTCCATACCCAAATCTCTAAAAAAGGGGCTGCAATGGATCTGATACAGACTGATCCAGATTTGAACACTGTCCTGACGTCAGGACGGTGGCGCTACGGCTATTGGTCAATTATCCACCTATCAGGGGAATGAGAGGTTGGGCCACGGCCGGCCATTGCTGCTCGAAAGCGCTGGAGACGCTGTAGTACATATGCCAGGCCTGTAAGTGGTGCTGTAGTCTGCCACAAAAGCAGCGAAAAATACTTCCCTTGCATGGTTGCCATGGTTGCCCTTCTGTTTATTCTCCGCTGTGGCTCTTTTTCTCCCTCCCCGAGGCAAGCGTTTGTGCCTCCTGCTTTAAAACAAATGAATAATGACTATATATAATCATATGTAAGGGATAATGTGCAGCGACAATGTGCAGTGACCTTCATGCCGATCTAGATCCCTCCGCTTCGTGTCGGGCTCCTGATCAGCCTGTCGGTGTTCTTTTCCCCATAATGACCGCGTCGCTGCACATTATCCCGCTTATTACATGGCCACATTCTCAACAAAGTAACGACATGACTCCCAATATTAATTGAAATGCTTTTATGGATTTAGAAAATGATTTTATTGATTTAAAAAAATTGTTGTATGTATTGATTTAAATTGACATGCATTCGCTAAGAAAAATAGTCCGTTGTTACTGTTTGAACTAACGTAGCAACGGCAGGAACTGCTTCGATAGTGTTTTTGAGGAGCTTTTTGATTACAGATTTGAAAACATTGTTGCTTGCTTTAAAAGTAGCACAATTCATTATGTCAAACCTTGGAAAGTATCTAGATATCTCTGCCCTAATACCAAAGTAACTGCCAACTCCCCTCTCCTGCAGGGGGGTGTGGTCAGCTGCAGCTCACAGAATCAGCCCCCTGCAAAAACAGGGCTGGAAAGAGCAAATAGAGCAAAATGAGGCATGGCTAAAATGCAGGATCTGTTTGGTATTTTGAAAAAATATATATATTTATATACTTTATATAGGTATGGCCCTACAATATATGTTTCAAATATAGCATGATAGGTCCACTTTAAATACTCCAATGTATCCTATTTACCAAAGCATTGGTTGGCAGTATTCAGTAACAAAAGGTTTTAATGATGGTAAACAGTATGGATATGGATTAACTGAGAAATTAATTTTGGAGAATTCAACCAAAAGCATGGATTGGATTTCCAGATTAATGTTAATGCAGATATTGGACACCTATAGCTCAGCTCAACATGAGTTGTGGAGGGACAGTAATGGGGTGATGTGATCATATGCATCACAAATCATTAGGACAGATCTCTTTTTTACAATTTGTGTTGCTTGAGCTCTAAAAAACCTCTTATTTGAAAATTCCATCCAAAGTATGACAGACTTGTGTTGCTGATGAAAAGCTCAGAAATCCAAAAGTAGGATGTGTCTTTTGAACGGTTGCATTACAATTGACAGATTGAATTTCAATTACATCATGAAAAAAAGATAATTTTCTTTCTTTTTCCGGATCAAAGGACAGAGGGTTTCGTATTCATAGTCTGTATAAAGCCCCTTGGGACACATTTTTTATATTGGGTTATATACATTTTTTTTAAATATCTGATTGATTGCTAGATTAATTCTGACTGTCACTTGCATTGCAGTGTGCTGCTTCAGCCAACATTATTATTTAAATATAATGCATATTTTATCATAAGTCACAAAGAAAACAAAATGCCTCGATCCATGGCCAAAGATAATAGATATTTTTTACAATTTATTAACCTTCCAAAAAAGAAAAAGGAAAAGACACATTTCTTTTTTAGTTATTTTGTATTAGTTTTTGAAGTAATATAGTACAAATGAAGTAATATAGTACAAATGACAATACAATCCTTGAATCTTGAACAATGCTGACTCTATAAAAATGAACCTCCAGTTTCAGATGCAGTGTTTTACCACAAAATACAGATCATTTTTCAAAAAGGAGATATTCCCACCTTACTATCTCAGCAGGGTGCATTGAAAGAGGACATCCAGCTGACTGCTCTTGCTCTGCATTACAATGTATAGATCTTATTAACGTGTTGGTCCCTTAGCCAAAAGGCTTTAGACTTTCTAAATCAATATTGATGCAACAAATGAGTGTCTAACAAATACAGATACAAATAAAAACAGGAACCCATACTAGTGTGTAACGGTATCCGTATTCGTCCCGTACCGTCACGGTTCGGACGTCACGGTTCGGCACACACAGTCACACGACGAATACGCATTTTTTTTACGAGTGGGAAAAAAGTGTCATTCAGGGCAGTATCCACTACACTATATATAATCCAGGGGGCGGTATTGCGACTAAAAGCTGTTTGCCAGCCGCCCTTAAACAACAAATGAAGAACAAGAAGAAACACAACAACAAAACGAACAAAATACAAGAAGAAGAAAAGTTAGTATGGCGATTTCAGATAACACACAGGAGCTATAACCCACCTGCTTCTTTTAAATAAGCTGTGTGGGAACATTTCGGGTTCCCTGTGGACTACAATAACGGTGGGGTGTGCGAGTGGTGGATCGGACGAGGACGGTGTGTCGCCGTTGTTCTACAGTGGTGCGGTATGCTAATGGTAACACACGCCAAACATGCTAAATCATATCAGAAGGCATCACCCAGATTTGCCAATCACCGGAAACCGGCAAAAGACATCAGCAGTTCAACAGCTGATCCCCGCCGTGAGACCAAAATAAATAACGGAAGCTTGTGGCATATGTTTTTCAACGACTTTGCGCTCTTGAAACACTTTCTTATTATTTATGATGTCATATTTTCAAGACATTCTTTTTAGCTTTACGCTAGATGAAACCTTTTTGTTTGACATCAGCCATTATAGATAATCTGGCCATCTGAGTGTACTGTGTAAGGTTTGTTTTGAACTGTTTAATACAGTTCATTATTCAAAAAAGAGTTCTTTAAAAAAAAAAACTGAAACTTGCACTACTGTTCAAACATAAATAACAACAAACCTGGAATTATGCATTTGGGACTTTTTTTTTGCTTTTTCTTGTTGTACCGAACCGTGACCCCCAAACCGAGGTACGAACCGAACCGTGACTTCTGTGAACCGTTACACCCCTAACCCATACTGTACATTATTATACCTAACAGAGTGTTAATACAAAAATAGCTACAGGCTCGACTCATCAAATGCATTTACAGTGGTTGTCTTACATTACTTTATTTGGTCAACATTAAAATAAAATGTAATATATATACACCATAATAAAGTATCCACATTATTTATCAGTATAACAAAATACACGTTGTTACGCCCCGGCCTAGGGGAACCTAGGCGCAGCACAAAGTTTGCTCTCTCCCCACTTTTCCCACTCTCAAGACAAAGGCAGAGACAGAGAAGAGTGTTAATACAAAAATAGCTACAGGCTCGACTCATCAAATGCATTTACAGTGGTTGTCTTACATTACTTTATTTGGTCAACATTAAAATAAAATGTAATATATATACACCATAATAAAGTATCCACATTATTTATCAGTATAACAAAATACACGTTGTTACGCCCCGGCCTAGGGGAACCTAGGCGCAGCACAAAGTTTGCTCTCTCCCCACTTTTCCCACTCTCAAGACAAAGGCAGAGACAGAGAATGTCGTTTGGTAAATTTAATTTACCAAATCTGAATTACACAAAAATATACTTTCACAACCAAAAAGAAAACATGCAGAAAGTATGATACAAAAATAAACAAAACAGGAGTAACAAAACCACAAAACGAACTAACCTTAAAACACAAAATCTTACCTAACAGAGAAAAATAAAAATACAGGCTTCTTATCTACTCTAACTTAAAGAGGAGAAAACGAACAATCCAAAAGGGAAAAAGAAAAAGGGTTTGCACTCCTGAGAAAATAAATCTGTCTACAAAGACAGGTAACGTAAAAATAGCTCACAGCCTGCGGAGAAGGACAAAATGTTCTCAAAGTGCGAACATAGGCAAGGCAAGGCAAGGCAAGGCAAGTTTATTTATATAGCACCTTTCAACACAAGGCAATTCAAAGTGCTTTACAAAAAACGAAAGACATTAAGAAAATGGCATTTAAAATCAGTCATTAAAAAGAAAAGATAATAAAATAAACATTAAAAGAAAAAATACATGGATAAAAGTTACAGTGCAGTCTAAGATATGAATAGTTCAATTAAAAGCAGCGGGAAAAAGAAAAGTCTTTAGTCTGGATTTAAAAGTATTCAGAGTTGCAGCGGACCTGCAGGTTTCTGGGAGTTTGTTCCAGATATTTGGAGCATAATAACTGAACGCTGCTTCTCCATGTTTAGTTCTGACTCTGGGGACAGAAAGCTGACCAGTCCCTGAAGACCTGAGAGATCTGGATGGTTCATAATTTAGCAGGAGGTCAGAAATGTATTTTGGGCCTAAACCATTCAGTGCTTTATAAACCAGCAGCAGTATTTTGAAATCTATTCTTTGACACACAGGAAGCCAGTGTAAAGACTTCAGAACAGGAGTGATGTGATCCACTTTCTTAGTGTTAGTGAGGACTCGAGCAGCGGCGTTCTGAATCAGCTGCAGCTTTCTAATAGATTTTTTAGTGAGACCTGCAAAGACACCATTGCAGTAGTCCAGTCTACTGAAGATAAAAGCATGGACAAGTTTTTCCAAATCCTGCTGTGACATTAGTCTTTTAATCCTAGATATATTCTTTAGGTGATAATAGGCTGATTTAGTAACTGTTTTAATGTGACTGCAACATAGCACCACAGGACAAAATATCTAAACATGCGCCGCATTGGGAGTAGGAGAAGTTGAGTCAGAGAGACCGAGAAACTGCATGGCTGCAGCTTAAATGCTCCGGTCTCCTCAGGTGGACCAATCAGCCTGTCGAGGGCAGCCAATCAGCAACCGGACACCACCTGTTCAATCACACGCAGCCACACAAACACAGAAGGAGGAAGAAAATCTGCACACAATACACATAACGACCCAGGGTCGTAACAACGTAAAGAAGGAGCTGATTCACATGTTTGGATTTGCTATATTGATGTTTCTTTTATTTAGGGACACTATGTTGAATTTTTTCAGGCTGGTTCTCTTTGCTGCTCTGTCTTTCTGATCAGCTTCCTGAGCTTAGCCAATAGGAGCTTTTTGAATTTGTCCCCCATGAGGAAGTAAAAGACAGGGTTGATGACACTGTGCAAGAAGGCAAATGGTCTTGTGATGATGTACAGGCTCTCTATGCTCATCCTTGTGCAAAGCTGCAACCCTGTCCAGTCGTGCTGAGATGCTATTCGGATATTTCTCAACACATGGTAGGGTGTGTAGAGAAGCAGAAACATGATAGCGGCCGATACAGCAACCCTGAGAGGACGCTTGTACGTGGTTGTCCGGCGCTGTATGGCCCTTTCCTGGATATGGAGCAAATGTGCAATTTGATACGAGAAACCACACAGTCCAAGCAAAGGGAGAGCGTAACCAGTGAGGGTAAGCCCTAGGCTGTAGCCCAATGTATGGACCTCTCCTTTCAAGCTGGCAAAATCCTTGCAGCTACTCCAGTTTCCTCTCTGAAGGTCATGGACCATCAGTGATATCATCGGAGCAACTTCCAAATTAACAGCTAGCCAGCTCAGCCCTGACACGATCATGGCTATTTTCGGCCTCAACAGGCAGTGGTTACGTGTTGGATGTCTTATGAGCAGGAAACGGTCCATGCTAACCCAAACCATAAACAGTATGGATGAGTAAAGATTGACATGCAGGACATAGCGGTTGATAACGCAACCATAGGGACTCTTCTCTGGTAGGTCATTTGCATAGAGGTACGAGAGGCGTGGAAGTGTGCAGAGGAAAATAAGGTCAGAGACTGCCAGGTTGAAGAGGTAAATATTGCAGCTCTGCCACTCCTGCAAACAAAATATATAGCCAAGTACAACCAAAAGGTTGCCAGGGAAACCAACGCAGAACTCGACGGCATAAAATGGTGACAGGTAGTACCTCTCCAGGACATCCTTGATCTTGGTACAATCAAGCACCTAGAGAAAAGACGGTAAGAGAACAGAAAAGAAAACAGAGTAAAGGACAAGAGAGGGGATAGGAAGGGGAGTCAGAGGAGGGAAGAGAAAACAATGGGTGAGTAACGATAGAAACAAAGTCCTATATTGGAAATGTAAACTTTAAGAACAATGTCTAGTAATGAATTTCAATAGAAACTAATATTTGGTTTAGAACTAAACACATTGTGTTATATGTATATAAGACTTACCATGCTGTAGTTGTTCTAGTAGTTGTGGGTAGGTGAATAGAGAGTAGGACCATGAGCAGGTGCAGTCACTATATGCAGAGTGGACATGTCAACACTGAGATGTGAGGGTACTGCTGCCTTTAATACATACTGGCTGAGAATACAAAAGGCTGTTTGAATTTGATTTGCATATAAAATATGGAAAGATGATGCAAGCTAAACAAATGAAACTAGAAGACTTAATAGGTTACTTAAACAACCTAACAAATAATCAAACTGAAGCCCTGTCTGGTTACAGCTGGAGTTTGTATTAACATGGAAAATATGTCCTATTTCATCTCTAGAGGAAAAGTGCAACACTTAAAACACTTTTCAGATTTGTACTAAATGTCGTACTTATTGTCATTACAATGCAATATCCACAATTAAATATGTTAAATGCACCTTTTATAAATCAATACTTGTATAGAGCCAGCCTAAATGTTGATTTTTAAGCAACCAATTGAGACTCCATCCATGCACTTAGTTAAGACCATAGACTGTATATATAAAGATTAAGACACACTGTATCTTTTTTTTTACTTCATGGCCTTGATGCAAGTCTTTTTTGTATTGTGATAAAGAAAAGGCCCTGAATGTGAAATATAATATAATTTCTGGCCCTTTTAAGAATTTTAATCTAGAGTTGTACTTAAAATTTCCAAAGAGCTGAAGTCTCTACCAAATTGAATCGCAAAAAATGAACAAAATGAAATATGTGGTTGTTGTAGGTAAAACTGACACGATCTAAAAATAAATTCAGGTAGCATTATCTTCGCTTGAGGCCAGCTGTCCAAGCATGTTTTTCTTCTTCCAATGATTCTCTCGCTCTGCTTATGAGAAAGTACTTGTTGAGGGATGCATTTCCACCTACAGTTACAAATTATTTAAAGTCAGACTTCTTCTTAAATATGACAATGACTCAATGACTTCAGCACTTCCTTTCTTGTGAACAACTACAAGAACATTTCTTGACCACAGTCTCTGTACTTTCCATGAGCCCTTTATACTTTCATTTATAATTAAACACAAGCATGTTTTTCTTTACTTCTGAGACTTCAAGCTCAGGTGACTGAAATATGTATAGTATTGTGTGATCTACAATATAAACTGATTTAATTAGGTAAAGTGAGTGATTTAAAAATATAGAAATAATCACAAAACATGTTTTTAGATCCAGGTCCTAAACAACTCTGTCTCTTCACTCTGTAACTAGATGTTCAAATATTTTCGCTTTTTAAAAAGGTTTGAACGTTGGTGTGGAGTTAATTTGGGTTGTTTATTCGTTTATTTCCTATTTATTTATTTCAATCAATAAGCATTAAGCTACTTGTTTAGTTGTGCAGGTTATCATGTAAAATAGGTCTCAGTTGGGAGGGAACCTTGTTTCCAGTATTTTGTTTCAACCCGGCTCGTGGGCTGTAACATAAAGCAGGGAGACGAGAGACGAGAGGTAAGAATAATATAGTTTATTGTTAAAACACAACAAACTAAATAGACACCAGCATCAGGTCCCCGAAACTAGCGCAGAGAAAGTGCCCAGAGGAGTGAGAGAGACGTATCCGGCTGGGCTCCTCCTAGGGCTGTGCGATTATGGCAAAAATCATAATCACGATTATTTGGGTCAATAATTGATATCACGATTATTTGGACGATTATTCATTGACCATTTATTGAACTTTAAAACAAATAATATTTTACCAATAAACAAGATCAACAAATATGTTGGAGCGCACTTCCAAAACCATACTAAACATATATTATTAATATAATAAATACAAATAAATTAAATCAAATATGATGCAGTGCACTGTCACAACCTACTGAAAACTCCTGAACATATAGCCAACATTTTGGTAAAACATATTCAACATATTCCACTCAGTTAAACGTTGAAGGCTGGCCAACCGTCATGGTCCAGAAGTAACAGGAAATAAATGTTGAACTACAATTTAAGACCAAATAAAAATGTTTAGGCCACCATGGCAAATGCTGGTAGGGCTGCTCATGTCATCTCTTAAAGATTGTTCGCTAGAAACACCAGCCTGTTTACATGGTCTGGTTTCAGAGTTGAGCGCAGGCAGGTGACAATATTGCCATCTGTACTGATTGAAGACCCTCAGCCACGCCCCGACATATGGGGTGACGCCGGCCAATCACAAAGCTTTGATGCGTTCAAGTGCATTATTCTGGCACAGGAAGATTATGTTACAGGACATTAACGATAAAACAGAATATTGTTGTTCTATTTTTAGATACATCTCGCGATCGACTGGTTGGGCGCCCCTGGGCTAGACCATAGGTCTATTGTGGTCGCAAAGTAGTCAGCTGAAGCCACATCTCTCTCAACTTCCCCACGGCATTTGTCATATAGTGCAGGCAGCGCAGTGACAGGGCCGCCCCTGGCCAACTTGGGGCCCCAAGCGACATTGTGAGATGAGGCCCCCCCCACCCAACCGACAGGAGTGAAAACAAAATATTTGGAAACAAAGTAGGCTACTTTGCAAATATAATTCCTGTTTATTATTATTATCAACATAGTTACTTTTGTATACAGTGAGGTAAATGTGCATGTATGTCGTTCAGTATGTGTTTACAGGTGAATACGTCTGCATTTCCTGCCAAATACTAGCCTAAAAAATATTAAAATATAATTAATGCAAATAAACTACTTCTACTAATAATAAAAATAATAATAATCCTAATCAATTCAATAATATAAATACTATATTATTTTATTATAATATAGTTGTAATATAGCCAAGACAAAACATGCTTATGACATGCTCAAAAACGGATATTTCTTAAATCTGTATTCAAATGTAGTTCCCTCTGTCAGCAATGTATCAACAACTACACACACATTTCTATCAGTATTTCACTGTGTTGTGGTTGACATGATGATGACTGTTAGGAGTTAAGGGGAGAGGCTGAGCGTCACCATGATGATGGCTGTTAGGAGTTAAGGGGAGAGGCTGATTATCACCATGATGATGACTGTTAGGAGTTAAGGGGAGAGGCTGAGCGTCACCATGAAATGTGCAAATTGACATACAAATGAATAAAAGGGGAAAAAAGGCTCCATGTTTTTTAAGCTGTAAACTTTAACTGTTACGTAAGCGAACTAGACAGACAGTGTATCACTCTTCCTCCTGTACATTAGCAGATACAAGGCATAACATACTTGAATGAATGTTAAATAAAGAATGCTGGAAATAACTGCATCTCCATTAGCCTGTATGCTCTGCAGAGACTGCCTTCTTCATGTCCTGAATTGCAGCTGATGTTTTAATATGGCAATTGGCAATTTGACTTATACAACATTCGCAAGTTGTACATTTTTTACTCATACAATAACCCACCTTCGAGTGATGCTCTAGTTTCTTCATGTTTTGTTTTTTTCCCCTCTTGCTTGTGCCGGACTGAAACTGTCTTTTCACCAACATCTCTTCACCTGCACTAGTGGCCGTATCAAAGTCGTGATTGGTCAGATGTCGATTCATTGCAACGGTGTCGGGTTACAAACATTACAGGACGGACCCCCATGGCGACCTCACCCTGCACCAGATCAGAGTTAAACACAACAGAATGCAGAGGAACAGGCACAACATTCATTCCCATACCTCGCATCCGGAAAAAATCCCCAGTTCTAGATTTGTCCGAAAATGGTAACACAGAGCTCAGAATGTATGAGTCATACAATGCAGTGTCTCTCAACATCTTTACCGGCACGCTGATATCACTTCCCACCAATGAAACGTATCCGGTTGACACAAATGCAGAAAACAGTGGGTCCTTCCACCCGCACGGCTCATTAATCTGCTGACAGGGAGAGATGACATGTAAGGGTACCACAGACACAGCACAAGCAGCAGAGTTAAACTGGCCTACACAGTTCCCCCTGTTAGCCTTAGCTTTTGGACAGTCAACCTTCCAGTGCCCTCTCTCCCTGCAGAAATGACAGATTTCCAAATCACCCTGTGGCTGACCTCGTATCTCACGCTCAGGTTTACCCCAGTGCGGATTAGCTTTCTCTTCCCATCTCCCTGCTGCACGACACATACCAGCTTCATCCTGGCCCCTGAAAACTCGACCGCCCCTGTGCGTTAGCACATAGTCATCTGCCAGAGCAGCAGCCTCTGCAGCAGTCTTCACTTTGCGCTAGCTGATGTAAACTGCAATGTGGCTGGGTACAGAATTTTTAAATTGCTCCAACACCATCAACTCACATACTGCAGTATACGTTTCGACATTCAGGGATTTACACCACCTACTGAAAAAAGTAACCAGATCCCTGGCAAACTCAACATGGGTCTGTCCGCTAGACTTCTCCCAGGACCTGAACCTCTGTCGATATGCCTCAGGGACTAACTCGTATGCCTTCAACACAGCAGTCTTAACAGTCAGATAAACCTTGCTCTCTGCCACCGTCAGAGCAGAGTAGGCTTCCTGGGCTTTACCCGTTAACACACACTGTAACAATAAGGTCCCCTCAGCGTCAGACCACTCTCTGGTCTCAGCTACACGTTCGAACAGGGAAACAAAACTATCTGGGTCTCGTTCACTAAACTGAGGCACTACCCGCAAATTACTGCCAACGTCAAATGGAGTAGCTCTATCAGGGAAATTAGAGGCCTGACCTGCACCACCAGCAGGAAAACCCAACCTCCGCTCCTCTAACTCAAGCCTTTTAATTTCTACTTCCCCCCTTATTTGTTCCACTGCCAGCTTCTCCATTTCTGTTTGCAACAACAGCAACTCCTTTCTCTGTTCAAAAGTCAGGCCTGTATCACTGCAGCCAGACGTACTGCCACTGTCTCTGCTAGGATCAACAGTATGTTTTACCCCCTTTGAAAACACCTAACTCAAACAAATTTGCTCTTACAATCCCTCTTATGTTTTCCTTCATCCTTTTATCCCCAACATCCAAGTGGAAATGTTCAGCAACACCAATCAGCTGCTCACGTGAGAAGCCCTCCAGTAGATCCTCTGTAGGCGCTCTCACAAACTCCTCTACATTCTCCATCGTGACAACACTGTGTGGCACGCTCACGCTACTTACACAGCATATACGCTACCGCGGCCCGTCCCTCTAACTGCCTCACAGAAACGAGCTAAACTCCCCGCTAGTCTTCAGGTGCTAGTTATGGCGGGTACTTATGCACTTAATACCGTAAGCTCGGCAAAGCGACCAGCAAACCGGCAACTCCACCCGCAGCCTCGGCGTGCTCCCGAGCTAATAGCTCTAACCACTTTCACACCACACTAATAGCCCCCCCTACAACCTCCAAGGAAGACTGTACTAGAGCTAACAGGGACAGATACCACGGTAACTAACAATACTGTGCTCGTACTCGCTTCCATACAATCTCTGTGCATCATAACTGCAAAACACTCACCCCCGTAACGCTACTCCCAACAAATCAGCCGCAC